TCACAGTTTTTATTCTGATTGTCAGGATTAAATATCTTTGTAACATTGTAATCTTGAAATTTGTTAAAGTAAAATTTTGAAATTAAATAAGGCGGATGAAGTTTTACTATCTTTTTACATCTTTGCAGTTTAGTCGTGAATTTCCTTTATTTTCAACTATTGCTTTTTATTGTCGATGTTAGAAATTGAAACAATTTCTCGAGCTACAAAACTTTTGTCAATTATAGTATTCTTATATAATATTGTCCCCAATTAATATCTTTTTAATAATTATGTTGTTCTCTCTATTAACTTTAAAAAATAAGTATAAAAGAGATATATGTCTTTATATTATATTTTATGTCTGGTAATATTCCAAGTAATACTCGACTAAAATTTTAATTAGGACGAACCACTTCATCGCCGTAAATATTCTACAAGTCACTGACGCTTTTTCTTCTTTCTTTTATCAAATAAGTTATTTATGCGAATATACATTCTTTTATGTAACATATGTATTGCTCCTCTTATTTCCTTTTACCGTATTCTCGTTTCACAGTAGAATAACGTGACCATCACAAAGGGAAAATGTCTACTTATACATTTCTGGGTTTATTCAGTCGGATTCGTAATGTATATAAAATTGCTCGACATATTTTAAGAAATGGTATGGTATACGCGAACCAACTTAGATTATAATGGCAGAAGAGATAAAATCTAACGAGTCTGATTCGATACTTATCCACATTCGTTCTTATGCAAGGCTTTCAGGTATTCATATACATATTTCTGTCGCGTCTTTCAATCGCGATTATTTACTGTTTGCAAAAAAGTTTCGGGAGCAATTTTTCGATATTTGTTTATTGTAATAGAATTTTTGCATTATCGACTTTTCAACAACAAAACCAGATGAAAAATTTATAACTTTTTGTCAAGAAAACAGTTGTTCTCTGAATAATCAATTTACTTTCCATATGCGATAATCGCATTTCGCAATTGTCGAGAAGAATCGTTCCGGATTGTCACGCCGGACGATAGTCTTTGTTTTATCCGTTATACGAGAGAGAGAGAGAGAGAGAGGGGGGGGGGGGGGAGGGATAGAAAAAAATTTATTATCTTTCTCAGCTAT